TTCCTCCGTAGGGTGGCCGGGCTCAGCCTTAGAGATAGGGTAAGGAGCTCGGTCATCAGGAGGGAGCTTGGAGTCGAGCCGCTACTCCTTCGCGTCGAAAGGACTCAGCTGAGGTGGTTCGGGCATCTAATTAGGATGCCTCCTGGACGCCTCCCACTGGAGGTTTTCCAGGCACGTCCAACTGGGAAGAGACCCCGGGGAAGACCCAGAACACGCTGGAGAGATTACATCTCCCAGCTGGCCTGGGAACGCCTCGGGATCCCCCAGAATGAGCTGGAACATGTTGCCGGTGAGAGGGAGGTCTGGGTCGGCCTGCTTGACCTGCTGCCACCGCGACCCGACCCCGGATAAGCGGTGGAAAATGGATGGATGGATGGATGGATGGATGGATGGTAAATTGCTCATCAAAATTGTTACATTTTCTACAGATGGACTAATTCTGTCTCTAGTGTTTTAGTTCAGAGTTTTTCCAGGAGTTATGAATGTGCAACTTAGCCAGCAACCTTACCAATACACAGGGTTACAACACAATGCAAGCCAATACAACAGCCATACAACACTACCTTTGAAAGACAAAATCAATTTGAAAAGAAACTCAATCTTTTGGTTTTGATGTGTTGGACGGCTTAATAATACGTTTACCTGTTTAGCACTTTTCTTAATCTAGTTAAAGTAAGTAAATAGTCAAATACATTACAATAAATTGAGAAAAAATAATTCAGGAAATATAAGTTAGATATAGATTTTTGTACATTCAATGCAATGCTACAAATGTAACTTGGAGCTAGAGAGACCAATAGAAACTTTATATTAAAAGAAGCCAATGGGGGGGGGGGGGGGGCATGAATAAATTGGGGTAATTTGTTCTTGTTTCTTATTTATAGTTTAAAGCCTAACAGCTCTATTTTGAACCAACGAAAGACGACTTGGAGCTTTTTTTAATTAAATGCATATTATAAAGAGTTATGAAGATGGGATGAAATAGCGGTGTTAATAACTTTCTTCCGGTCAGTGGCAGAGAGTAGGGATGGGATTTGATGATATAAAGTATGTATTTATGTACACGATACTGTATGTCTACGCCCTGTGGGTGTGAGTTTCCACTGTCCTCAGCCACTAGAGGTCTCCCAAATTCCACTCGGCTTCTGGATTCATTATTCTAATGACCAGGGCCCTTAGTGCCAACCACCCTCCGCTTTCTCAATGCCCCCGCCTCCTGCCCTCCATCCATTCTTCATTGAGGTTGCCTAGGGGTGTCAGGTCACTCAGAGGTGAGGACATCAGCTGCTGCCACTCTCCTGGAGCACAGGCTGTACTGTAGTCTTTCGCTTCCAGTGCCAAACCTTCCTCGGTCCTCGCTGAAAAGCAAAAAAAAAAGGAGCCGTGCTACAGTACAGAACAGGAGGCTTGAGTGTACGGCTTTCAACCTCGGCCTTCTCTTTGAAAAGTAGGCTATATTTCAAGGCAAAAAAATCGGTACTAATCCATGCTTGTCCTTGCTGGTTTGCTTTGGAAAAAATGAGCATGAGCCCCCCAACCGCTGGACGCGCTCCCAGGTCGCTGCTCGTTTGCTCCCGCCTGCGTACAAGAGGAAGAATGCCCCTTGAATGCAGATGGATTCATTAGGTCTGAGTAACACCCTTCTCCTCCATCATGCTGACACAAACACATACACACTGTACTGCTCTGGCTTTGCAAAAAGGGAACAGTGAGTTCTGCAGCCCTGGCCACACTCCGCACACACGCACACACGCACATACGTACACACACAGTTGCCTCCAGTGTAAACAACGCCATGCGGTTTCACTAAGGAAGATTAACTCAAATGCTGCCGGATCGTGTTCGGCCATTTTAGCCTAAACACAGGACCCATCCACATGTGTTTAGCATTTAGCTGGGTCTCTTGAATGTAAGCAGAGGACAGAGACTGGCTCTTTGAGGGTTTTTTTTAATGGAAGGGCTTACATTGACAGCCTTTCTTTGTGTCAGCAGTCTGAAGTCAGAATGCTTTCCTGGCTCAGGACAAAACAAATCGTTGCCCTCATACTGTTGTAATTGCAGTCGAAATCCTCAGTTCCCCCCCTCCCAAAACCTCAATGTCTGGAATGAGCGCTGAACAATGGGGCTGCTGCGTTTTTCCCTGTTGTTGGTTGGGTCAGAGTTACAGTTTGGTTTGTTTTCTGGTCAGATCAGAGCGCGAGGGGGAGCCCGACACTGAGGGAAATGTCAGACTGGCCCTCCTACCAGGCTGATTTGGGAGCTGTGCTTGTACTAGTGTGACAACCGGTCATGGGCTGCTGATCCACAAAGCCTCACACCCCCGTCCACCTCTCTGTTTGCTCTGCACCTCCTCTCACACACACAAGCGCATACCACCACACTCACCCAATCCTCCCCTCTCTTTGAACACCCATCCTGCTCACCTCCTACACATTTTGTACATACATACAAGCCATCCATCCCCTGTCACACACACACACACATGCACTCACACGTGTGCGCTGCCTGCCTTGTTGCCCAACTGGCCGCTCCGCCTCGGCTGGCTGCGCTGCTGTCTCTCTGTAGTGACAGATGAGTGTGCGAGAAGCATTTCCTCCAGGCTCAGGGCTGACTTTCAAGACGGCTGCACAACGATACACGAAGCCACACGCTAATGGGGTTGGAGTGCTACAGCAAAGCCCTGAGTGAGTGAGTGTGTGTCTGTGTGTGTGTGTATGCGCTTGTAGATGTAACACCCCACTCATTATGCTCCTCTGATGGGGCACCGTACAGCCTCTTTATAAGAAGACCCTTATGGCAACATGTCTTATTATCTCAACTGCTGAGATGGATGTTAATACCGGGCTGCGCTGTGCATGCTGTGTGCTCTCTAGCCTGTAGAACGATGAGACGTGGTTGATATTCGAAGTCCGTCTCATTGCATGGGCTAATTCTATTTAACCTGGAGAAGTCTGCTAGATGGTACGGTCAGAACGCCCCAGGGAGACCAGTATGTACCTCTGCTTTATTACCCACCTGAGGAGGCTTGCTCTCCCACACATACACACTCCACTGTTTGCTATGTGTAATTTACTGGGCAGCCTGTGGGCCAGGCCTTCATCTGCAGGAAGGCGCGAACAGAGCCTCAGCGCCAGTAATTGGACTTCAGAACTGATTGGGGAACTTGATTGACCCCCGGTAATGGATTTGAGTGAATAATTATTTGTAGTTATGGTTGGAAGATGATATCAGGGAGAGAGAGACCAATCCCACCAGTGTGACTCACCCCTGCCACCAGAGCAGAACGCTGCCAGCACTTAATTAATGAAATCCAGCTGCTCAGACTCCCCACGTGTAGTGGCTGATCAAAAAAACACACAGGGGTCTGGTCAGAAAAAGGGTTATCTTCATCCAACCTTTCCCTTTCGCACAGCCGGCAGCCCGTGGCCCATCACAATAGTGATTATAAATTCTTCTCCACTCCAGGTACAAGACATTAAGGTTGATAATGTCTCCATTATTTTTTTAACTGCCGGTGGCAGTGCTCAGCGCAGCCCACGGCAGCCATGTTAATGAGACCTCTCAAGATGGCAGGCAGCGCCTCCTCAGGACACAAAATGCAATCACTCTTAATCCAGCACTTTAATTGCTGGCCAAGCCTGCCTAAGTGAATTCAGCTGTTCCATATCTGCAGGCAGGAGTTGCTGCACCTCGAAGAACGCTCATCATACTCGCAAAGATAAACTCAAAAGCTTCAAAAACAAATGGGATGTGACGCGCGGTGGTCCGTCGGGTTGAAGCTGAGGCTTATTTTTGTGCTTCGAGGGTGTCGGACGGAGACTGAGAACTGAGGAAGCACAAGTCAGATTTTCTTTTCTCTTCCCTCACTGCCTTAAACACATCATTTACAGAGTGAACAGCAAGCACCTTCCCTCCCATACCTCTCTTGTATCTTCCTCTCTTTGCTCCTTGATTGACCAGCATCATTATCCTCACAGCTCTCCTCACTACAGCATGTTTCTTTTTCCTCTCCTCTTCTCACTCTCCTTAATCCGTCGCCCAGTCCTCCTGTCATATGTCCTTGTCTCCCTCCTCCTCCTCCTCTCTCCCCCTCCGTGTGACCCCTCATTGCCCTCTTGCCAGTCTCTATTATTTCTGGCTGCCCAGTGGCCTGGTCAGGCCGGTGCTCCGGGGGGTTCCAGGCAGCCCGTGTTATGACAGGTAACACTGGGCCGCACACTCTCTCTGGTAACATGCGGAGGTCAGCCTGTCATACCTGTCCACAGCTCCACTATGCGCACACATTCACATGTGCGCACACCCACACCAATGCCATGATTCACTGTGTATGGATAACTGCCAGGCAGCCCTGGCCGTAACCTTAGATCCAGCAAAAGTGAGTGATGAGGCGCGGTGGAGTAGAAACACACCTTTCCCCATTCTGTTCCTTTGTGTTTGCAAAACAATGTCTTTTTTTTAATTCTTTACATGATGTGTGATGCGTTCACACTCTTGGCAACCAGTAGGAATGCTGTAATTGTTCTTGTTTAGCACAGAGGAGGAGGATTTAACCGGGTAGTGGCTGTTAACTACTGCTACCTCTCTCTCTCTCTCCTGGCATGGACTGATCCCCGTGTTAATGACCACTCACAGTTGCTGCCCTGAGGGGCTCCAGGACAGAGTCAGCCAACATCAGACCCTCACAGCCACCTCCAAGACCATCTGGTCAAACAACAGAAAATATCTTCCGTATGTTATTTGTATTTTGCGCCCATTGTTTTTTGGCTTGTAAGAGGAGGCGCCAAGTTACAATTTGTTTCATTCATAACAATTTTAAATCGGATGGGATTGCTTCAGCGGAGGGTCCAAGTGTGTTCCCTGAATGGATTTCCTGCTCATGATGTCTCATTTATGTCCAGCTGCCCTCTATCAACTACTGAATAGCCAAGTTTTGTAAGGTTCAGGGCCAGTAATGAGAACCGTCATCCTCTACCCGACCGAACACGCTCTATCCACCCTGGACAAGATGGTCGCTCCCCGGTAGTCGATCAGCGGTTGTTGTTACGGTGGCATGTTCCTGGCTCCCCCGTCTGATCCAGGGCAGCGCCCCACACTACCAGGCCTGTGAGGGCCAAGGGGCCGGCATGGGTTTGTCACGCCACGTTGACATTTCAGGGAACTTTGCCAGGACACCACAGCACATTTTGTCCTCCTGGACACTGGTGTGGGACCAAACGTGTCAACCCGGGCAGATGGGCAGGCGTCAGTGCCAACCGCACTGGACCGTACCGGACCGCTGGCCTGGCAACTGTCAGCCAGCCAGCCAGACGTAGCGCTTCCTGGCACATAGTGGAGGAGCAAGTGTCTCCCTCTAGCAGCGAGCTCTGGAAACATGGCTGTCTGCGTACAGTTTATGAGCCTGCGTGTGTGAAAAAAAGATCAAACCATACAAGTTATTGCATCTCAAGATAAGTATGCAGAACAGAATTTAACTGACTTTGATAGTAGAAGTTCAGGGCTGTCGGCACTAAAATGAAATAATTCAAGCAAACCAGACAAAGGGACTCTCTGAGTTTTATATTGCTAATAATCTTTATTTTTAAGCAACTCTAGACTGAAAAATATCACCTGAATTGTGTCAGGTGAGTCTGGGGGCAGCACAACTCATACCGTCTGTCATACATTAATAAAGCACTGCAGCAATATGCATATAAAAAGTGCAGACTGTCCTTTTCCTCTCCGCTTACTGCCGATGTATTTATTCTCAACGTTTTGGTCCTGCTGGCCTTCATCAGCTATATGTGGGCAAGCGGCAGTTCCTTATACATACATACATGTATATCCTGGGTCAATTATTACCCAGGATATACATGTATGAGAACCAAAAGTATTGTGCTATTTTACATCTATACAACACCACACTGTCAAAAGGTTAGAAGAGGACTAAAGGTAAAATGTGAGCAAAAATATGAATCATAAATCAGAACTTCAGAACTTACACAAATAGGAACACACAACAGGCCCAGATTGTGCTGGATGTGGTTTTTGTTACTTGACTTCAGCAGATTTTGTTTTACAAAAGGCGACATTAAGGAAAGTGTCACGACAGAAAGCCATTTCCGTTTTATATTTATTATTTCAATTTGAAAAGACAAGTTTGTAATTTAATTTTTCCAGTTTAGGCTGCACATTGTCTGCAGACAAGAAAGATGTCGTCCAGTTCACGTTTCATTTCATCATAGTTGTGACAGTGAGCGTTGCAGTAAAGATGCATTTGTTGTTTGAAAAAAAAACAAAAAACAGCTAAAGCTAATGTCTGGAGGATTTGAGAGTATATGTGTACATGTATGTGTGTGTACGTCTGGTAGCATCATGGGTGTTAGCACACACCTATGTTTCTGTACGAGGAAGCCTGTGTTTGTGCTGCACGTCTGAGCCAGGCCTGCTTGGAGGGAGGGCCATTAATCTTCACTAAATCAAATAAATCAAGTGCACTTTAGAAAAGAGCTGTCGGTGTAATTGTTGTGATAGCCATTCCCCAGCTTCTCCAGGGTGAGCTCTATTGAAAAGTGTGCCAGGGAATGCACCAGTCCCTGCCGTCTCCCCAAAAGAAGAAAAAATGTAAGGACTCTGAGAAAGGATATAGCCGAGGCTGCTCTCTGAATGGAGACATCTGAAGCTACTCAGTAACACGATGAGCACTGCCGAGAGTGATGCGATTGAAGTTTGCAGCCACGTTTTTTTCTGCCGCGGACTCCATCATAGTGGGATGCTCGGACAAGGCCGCCGCGGTGTAGTGTGCCCGTCTTTGTGTTTGATCTTCCCTTTTGTGAAATGTGGCCAAAAAAACGCCTCCTAATGCTCCTCTCTGCAGTTGCTGCTGCTGTTAAACGGTTTTTGCTCAAGAGGAAGCCACCGCTGTGATAACACATCAAACCTAATCTCCGGCTCCGTCCGCAGAAAGAGCACAATTTACATTGAAAAGAATGCTAAACCCCTTTCAAGGAAACCATACTGGTGGTTGCGGAGATGAGCCGGAGCAGATAATGGGGATGGAAAGAGCAGCATGTGAATAGGCTGCCCGGCACTCAGCGCCCCCTCTCAACCAATGACGGTTAAATGGCTATCAGGGCACCTTGGCAACCATTTCTGCGCTGCTGCTGCTTCTTCTTCTTCTTCTAATTTGGCTGAGGAGGCTGCATTCATCCATCAAACATGCCTCTGCTCTTCCCTGAGAAGTGTTTGCTTATGTTTCATCTCACTGGAACAAATGTCATTTTTTTTTGTTTAAGGCTTTCGATTTTTATAGTGTACTTTATTCCAAATATCCTCTCAAGATAAATGTTTCTCCGACATGTTTCTCAAGGTTCCAGCAGATGGTGCCAAACTGTGTGTGTGTGTGTTTGTGTACAAGAGTGTGTGTGTGTGTGTGTGTGTGCGTGTTGGTCTCTTTAAGTGTGTGTCTTTGTAGGAGAGTGTTGTTGAGAGATAAAGAAACCCACTGTCACTCACCTTCACATCAGGTATCACAATAACCAGCAGAGAGGAGCAGGACTGAAGGCTTTTTAGATAAAAGACTATTTATTCAAGGTTTCAGTAGAACACACAAGCACAAGCACTCGTTTGTGCAGATGGAGGGGTCAGGGTGTTGGAGACCCATATTGATCCTATTTATAATGAAGTTAAAAATATTTAACTGCAACTAACTTTTGATAGAAAATAATCTCTAATGACGCACAGTACAGCGATTCATCCTGAAAACAAATCCTCGCCACGCTCGAGAGTTACAAAATGTAAGTAACAGAAAAGGTTAAAAAAAAGCAAAAAAAAAAAAAAGATGGAGCGACTTGGATGGATGCGGTCTCTGTTAATTTGTTTGACCCACTCTCTTCTCAAAATGAGAATGGATGGAGGGATTCCGGGTGTCCTGATTGGAAGATGGATGAGTGTGCAGCTATGGCTTTAATTGATTGAAGACAGGAATTCAGTTAGGGATAATTGAATCATGAAAATCATTAAAAGCTCAAGTGCATGAGGTAATTAGGAGAGCCGGCCAGGTTGTAATCAACCCTCGTTCCAAATCATCTTTAGGATGCAGACTAAAAGGAGCTCGTTATCCTGAAACGTTTACGGTTTCGTGACGTTTGATGTAAAACATCAAACCGTTCTTTTCACACAAAGGTACGTTTAACAGCTTTGATGCTTCTTTTGTGGATGACTCTGATCATATTTATTAATAAATGGCCGCTCTGTTTTAATATTTCCGTTTGCTTTTGGCTAATTGGTCTCCGGGCCAGTTTTCTTTGCTCCAGATTCCCAGGGTCAGCCGGGGGGGGTCAGCGTTCTACTTCATTACTCCATCCAGGGAAATGAGCAGCCTGATTAGTTTGGGCTTGACCTCGCTATTCTGTTAAGCTCTCTATAACAAAGTCTCCTCGTTTCAGATCTCAGCAGACTCCATTCATTGAAGTCGTTGCCTCTCGCAGGTGAAAAGGAAGTGCGTTTGTGGACGTTTCAAAAATGAACATCTTGTCCCGTTTCAGTCAGAGAGATTGTAAACTGCCGAGAATCAGTGGGCGATATCTTGAGGTTCAGTGTCGCAGACGATGTGAATGAAGTGCAGCGCCAACTGTTACCCATAGAAACCAAGTAACCTATGGCTGGTGACTGTCATAGACTGCCATGGTAACAGCAAAGCTTAACAACAGGGGAGTTGGCTGGCTTTTGTCCTATCTATTTCAAAGACACGATCACACTCAAGTAGAGCTGCTCTCCCTCTGCCCATTACCAGCCTCCTCCTCCCCTTCCTCTCTTCTATAATGCGTTTGTCATCCAGTTGGAATGGCCAAGCAGTAGCTTTATATTTGAGGCAGCACCCAACAGGGGGTATGATCTGTCCTCCCCACTGATTCAGGCTGCCCTAAGTCTGGATATGCTAGGCCCAGGGACTTGTGGGTAATCCCCCTCCCCCCTCCCCCAAACACCCCCCGCAGGGCTTCCTGACTCAGATTGCTGCTGACCCCCAGCCGAGTGATGTCTCACCCCAGAGAGTGGGGAAGGGCCGCAGCGGGGGGTTCGGGCAGGCAGTGATGCTATGCCCGTGGGCTGGGCACCAAACACGCATGTAAATACATGTCCCACCACGCGTGTCCAACCCCGACTCAGTGGCGAGTGAGTGACGCACCAACACGAGCCTCCAGATCATCTCTCTCCCTCAGGTGGAGCTCAGGTGCGAATTGTCTTTCATGCACAGCCATCTTTGTTTTTGCCTTGCACTTTGCATGTATTTCTAGCAGCGTGTGCAGACTTATGGACTGAATAAACATGGAATTTCATGTTCACCAATTCATTTTGATGCCTAATTTTTTCAAAGATTAATAGATTTACGAATCAACAAGCAGCCTCAGCGGAGCCTTGTTCTGCGTACGTTGTTGCTCTGGCTTCAACCCCGTGCCAAATCGATTCCAGAGGTCATTTTCTTCCTTCATTTTCTCTTCTCTGTGAGCCAGTGGTCTGTGAGCCAGCCTGTACTGGGAGCTGTGTAGGGCAGGACTTTGTATGTTTATTTTCTCTGTTGGAGAAAAAAAAAAAGAAAATCAGAGATCTGTCTCCACTTAGCAAAACCTCTGCTCGTGCACAGGGTAAAAACCACGATGGTGGTGAGGAACGGGGGGGAGTCCTGGAAGTATTGATGCCGAGTGAAGCATGCATGGAGTCAACTGTAAAATAAGGAAAGAGCAGAAAAAGATGAGGTAAACAGGAGGGAAGAAAAAGAGTATAGAGTGAGGGTAAAAGGAGAGATTAAAAAGATGTATATGGAGCTATGAAGGCGGGGGAACGTGTGAGGTGTATGTAGTGAGCAAAATGGAGGGAAAAAGGGAGAGAGAGGCCAGGCAGCTGGGAGCTCCCACAGACACGCACTTCTGTCTAAGCAGCTTTCCTCTCAGGGCAGGGTCACGGCGGGTCACGGCGGGATTACACTTTTGGCAAACAAGAGGGAGCTCCTCTCTCACAAAGCCGTGCACGACTCCCCCATGACTCTCAGCAGCTGTAATAAAGCCAAGGCAGCCTGAACCTTCAAACAAAAAGCTAACACGCTATCGATTGACAGCGGCCAACTTTCGCGAGGTGGTGTCGAAAGGTCGACATTGTGCAGACAGCTCGGGCCGGGGTGAAGGGCTATTATTGGGACGAGGGAAAACTCCGGCGTTTAGTCTTATCACAGAAGTTCCTCACTTAGTTGACAATTTCACCGAACATGTCAGCGCCGGAGTGGAGTTATTGTTCTTCGGCAAATGAAGAAAAACAGCCCCCGTGTACAGTGTGGTGTTCCAATCACAAAATCCAAATGAGGTTTTCTATCCTTTCAATCAATAGCCATCCCCTGCAGTGCCTGCATGTCTCTTCACTTCCTAATCAACACTTCCACTCGTAGGGGAGGTCAGCTGAGCAGGCGCACGGTGCCCCGAGCGCTGCTTTGAACTTAATTAAGCAGCTTTAAACACAGCCGAAAAAGATTCATTATAACACAGGCAAGATGAGCAGCTAGATGAGAACATGGCTCTTCGACAGAAGAGATTCGGCTTCAGATGGCTGTTGAACCCATGTGGGTCAACATCGAGGGCGCGGCAATGGAGGTCCCGCAAGGACTGCTAAATCCTTTAGAAACTTAGAAACACTCAGTTAAAACTTCACCTCAGCTTGTTTAAACCCTGTGGAAGAGACACACATAGATGTAAACAGTGATATTGTCTTGTTAAAGCAATGCTAAAACGAGAAAAAAAAAAGAGAAAGAGCGGTAAAGATGGCGGTGCTCATGTGCCTGGAAGGCTGCAGTGTGCCACCAGGGTGCTGTGAGGCAAGGCCTGTTAAAGGAGAGCTCCAGACCAAGGTGTTCTATAGCTCGGGGGCTAACGGTGATAAATGAGTCCCTTAATGTCGGCAAACACTTTATCTCTGCTTCATCTGTTTTCATTAGGCAGGGCCAACCTTTGGCTGGGCGAGAACGTGCAGTAACTTTCATTACTACAACACAGGAAGGAGAGGGAGAGAGACCTCCCATCGGTCTAATAAAAACACCAGCTAGACACCATGACAGATCCTATTTCTTATTATTATGATGGCACGCCACAGATATACATTAGAGAATGCTTTGTCCCTCAAAGATGATCAGTGCTGTTCCTTAACTCACATCCCCGTCTCCCCACTGAGTGATGTCCACTCTCATTGCTCTGAAACATGCTGATGTATTTCCTTTCTTTTGCTGAGAGGAATATGGAATGTGCACCAAAGCTTTTGCATTTCTTTTAACTTGCATTGCAGAATTTTGATTTAAGTGTGTACATTTATTTGAATGTGAGCGACATGACGACACTAATAACAAGAGGGGCACTCGGAGCGTGCAGACCTCGATCAAGGCCAAATGGCCGATCTCGCAATTTTAATTAAAGTGAAAAATAATGCGTCTCCGCCCTGTTCGTTTCCGATCCACTCAAAAATGCAACGCAATCTCCCTTGGTCCCTGCTACACCGTGGGCCGAGCAATATTGAATATTATTGACCGTTGACTTTCAGTGGAATCGTATTGTGATATCATTTTATATAACATTGTTTTGTTTTGGTATGTGATATTGCTAACTAAATTGCTAATATAATCAATTATAGTATAGTATGCCACAAAATGCCATGAAAGATGGATGTCATTTAAAAGTATAGCACGATATAGAAATTGCGTAAGCAGGTCAATAGTATAGAATGTCAGTAAAGTGTCATAGTACAGCATGTCATTCAAAAGTAATAGTATGCCATATATATTTCAATAAAATACTCGTAAAATGTGTTATAGAAAGTCATAGTATAGTATAACACAAAGTGCCATAAAAAGGTGATCGTATAGTATGTCATAACACGCCATAGTGAAGTTTGCCTAGTAAGTCCTTGTATTGTAATAATATAGTTTGTCATAAAGATTTAATTGAAAAAGTCATAGTATGTAATCAAAAAAGTTATGATATAGTCTGTCATGAAAATGTCATAAAAATATTCACTAATTATTTTGTCAGGAAACACCTACTTCCTGTGTTTTAGCAGTTTTAAGACTTGAAAAAATGTAAACTAATGCCAATTAAGGCTTTATTTTTAGAATTCAATGACTTAGACTTTTTAAAGCCTGTGTGTGTATATTTCTCCATGTAAGGTCTTTCTATATGAACTGTGTTTTTTGGACTTAAAATACTTAAATAAGGCTTTTCAAATATTCAGTGGAGTAGAACAACTGTAGATGTCAAATATTTAATAATATGCCGACTGTATATTTTCAGTTGACAAATTATAACCAGTGGCACCAGCAAGATGCTACAGCTGCTAGCTCACAGACGGTTGAAGTGTTTACGTAGTTAAGGGATCCGTTATAAGCAGCACAAATATGAGAAACTATACTAAATGTTTATGCATAAGAGACGATGAGCATTTGTGTCACTATTCAGTGAGGAAACGAGTCAGCTAGGAAGATGAAAAGAGTTTTAGGAGGCGTTTAGCAAAGTGCACGAGCGATGAATGTGATCTACGCCGTCAGGAGAATGAGCAGAGGAAAGAAACAGCTGACGTAATATCTGATGTAAGCTTTACTTTCAAATCCTGTTACATTTAGACCTGGCAAGTTGAACATAAAATAATGCCAAACAAAGAAAACAAATACAAAACCAAAAAAGTACAAATGATCTATTTACCAGTTATCGTCACAACCCTGTACAGCCTTAACAATGGAGTAATAAAAAAAAGCTTTGTACAGCACATACCAATCTTTACCGAGTGCCAAAAGATAAGATAGCTGAGCCTTTTCTAACCAGAACATACAGCCAAACTTAAACTGATTGTAGACAGTGCAGTGGGATGCCAACTAAATGCAACCAAGGGAGTTAGTTTTAAACACAATGAAGTGCCAAAGAACTAGAGCGAGGGCAATGTCATGCAGACTCTGAAGTGCTGAAAGGGTAGTAAAAAAATAAAAAGGTCACTGTGCTGCGTACAATTGGGCAAAAATAAACAATAAGTGCTTAAGAATATTGGTTTTCAAAAGGATAGAGCCCTGTTGCCTTTTTAAACATTACACTCAAAATAGGTGGGACATAATGAAGTGCAGCCATTGATGATTAAGCTGTAATAAAAGGCAGACATTATTAAAAAAAAAGGTGTCGAGATCGGACACATTCTTTTTCTTTTTAATCTTTTGGACCCTGACAATTAGTTTGACTCATTCTCAGAAGTCTCAGGTGGTTTCCTTCCACCAAGTGGCACTAGAGTATAAAAGATAACGTAGATAGTACAAGGAGAGAGTGTGTGTGTGTGTGTGTGTCGGAGAGATGCTCCTTTCACTCCAGACATGCTGCCAGACATTGACGGAGCAAAAAGGAACAAACAAACAGTGTAAAGGGGGACAATCGAGGCTCCGCTCCAAAAGAGGACGTGACGGATTCAATCCTAGCATCACATCCTGCGGCGTGTTACATTTTGGTCTCGACAATTCATGTTCTCTGTCCAATCGACATTTTTCTGACATGATTAAAGTAGAAAAATAACAAACAAACAAAAAGCAACAATGATTCCATTGTAGGAAAATGCATGAGTAAAATAGACAAAAGGAGAAAAAACAATCCCTTTACAATAAGAGATTTTGGCTTGAAGACCACTTAAAAACACAAGCGCTATAGATAATGGCTAAAGCTTTTTTCAAAATAAAATGCTTGTACTTTGCTGCTCTGCCTCGCAAAACATACTTCTTTTTGAACATTTTACGGATAAATACATATTCTCTTAATCAGAAAGTGCAGCACTGTGCAAAACTGGCTATCACAATTTAGCCTGGGACCTTTAGTTCCCAGGGAGAGCTTGACCTATGCTGTCTAATTCATGCAATTTGTATTAATTTACGTTCTCCGATTTCACAGAGGCCGGCCCTTTTGCACTGCTAGAAATGCTTACGCGTGAAACTGAGGGTTGACGATCGAGTCGTTTCCAGCAGCTACTGTCCACTTCACATTATGGTAACTCGCTGGATCTACATTTGCACTTTAAAAAAAAAAAAGGGAAAATAAAAGGTTTAAGTGCTTTTGGCTTGAAGTGTAACTATATTAAGTGCAATTAAAACTCAAAAGGTTAAAAAGAGACGGGGGGGGGGGGGGGGCAGTACCATGTCTGCCGGCATACAGAAGCCAGTGCCATTGAAAACAATGCTGTACAAGTGAATGGCTTTGCTTCATCATTGCACCTACAGGAGCTTTTTTTTTTTGCTTTTTTTTCTCCACGATGGGTTCCCTATGAATGTTAGTAGAAAATGTTTTTATTAGGATGTAAAAGGCTCAGTAAAAAAAGTGAAAAAAAATGAAAGACAAAAAGAAAAAGACACAGAAGGCCACCAAACACGCTAACTTTCCCGTCTCTTCCCTGCTCACAACTTCTGTATCGCTTCTTTTTTTCCATGTACATAAACAAAAATACATTCATTCAAGTCATTTTGGAACAGTTTTTTTCTTTTTTTTTGTACACAAAAAATTACAAAAAGCTCCAAAAAGCACCATTGAATCGGCCTGCGGTGACCGGGTCTGTGGGTAGCTTGCTAACCCGGAGCCGGTCACCTCCACAAAACAGTTATCTCATATATCTCTTCTAGGTACAGGTGCGGGGCACATAGTTCTGCATATCAAGTTGCGCTGATTTCCACCTGGTCTCAGAAATAATCGATTGACTGTTTCTCATTATTTCACTAGGAGTGCAAATCCATTGTCAACATTTTACATTTATATTCAAATCTAATTATTGGTAATAAATGTAGAATGTTTCTTGTCATAAGTCAGAATTTCCTTATTTACATTATCACAGCTTATCTTCTGTTTAGGGAGCTTACAAAAAAAACTGTTACAATTAGCTAGTAACTCATCGAAAGGATATTTATTCCGAGACAGAGGCGATATCAGGCAGCAGCTATGCATAATATGGTTTCACCATTATACAAAAAAAACAACGGAAATCAAAAGGATGGGAAGGGGGAGGGGCTACAAAACTATGTACAAGACTTGATAAATAAGTAAGTGCGTGGTTTGAGGCGTTGCTTTGGAAACGTGCCTTTTTTTACGAGGAAAAGCGCTCCCGTTTCATTGGTTCTGTCCACGTTGCACCGCTAACACTTCAGGATATCTCGAATTTAGCTTCCTAATGACGTCAAAGCTAGTTGAAACACAGGCATGCTATTTCGATGCATAATAGCAATAGACAAAAATGCACTAAAATATAGCACTTGCAAGTTTTTGTTTCATCTTTTTATCTCGTCAAACGACTAAAAGAAAAATATCTATGAAACTGAGATACGATAGTTTCCTCAGATAATGCAACTGGGTCCAAGTCATTCAGACATTTCAAAACAGAAAAAAAAAATAAAGGTAATAGAGAGTAGTAGTTGAAGTAGTAATAATTCAATTGATAGAACTGATAAGAAAAGCAGCTTCTTGATATAAATGCATTTTTAGCATGTACAGCCTTTTTCTCTTATAAATGTTTTTCTTTTCTTTTCTTCAATATGTTTGTCTGCTCCAGCTTATTCTGCTGGTCTGATTGGAAAAGACGTTGCCCCCACTGCAGTGGTCAAGTGTCAATTCACACCACCGTCCGAGGAGTGAGGGGAGGAGGAGGAGGAGGGGGAGGGCGAGGTCAAACAGTCTTGGCCCTCTCCATCAGTCCCAGGTAGGCCAGGAAGGAGTGTTTGTGGGAGGAGGGTGAGGGGGAAGAGCGGGAGGGCGACGCCGAGCTGGAGGAGAAGAGGAGAGGAGATGTGGCGGGCCGCCATCTGGAGTGGAGGTGCGAGTGGAATGTGAGGCGGCTGTTGTGGGTGAACAAGGTGGTGAGGGGGATCATGTGCGCCCGGTCGCAGTTCCTGTACTGCTCGAACACGTGGCGGGAGGAGGGGAGGAAGAGGGAGGGGCTGCCGCTGCTCGGGCCGCCGGGGTTCCTGGTGGTGGTGGTGCTGCCGTTGGTGCCGACCAAGCGGTGCAGAGGGCCAGTCGCATCCAGCGGGCGGGACTTGCCCAGCGTGAGTGACAGGGCGACGGACTGGAGCGCCTGGGACGCCGTCAGACTCATGAGAGGGCTGTTACTCCCACTCCCTCCGCTGCTCCCGCCTCCTCTGCTAAACAGGAAGTTCTCCCGGCTCTTTCGCAACGAAGAGACCCCCGGTGACGTTCCCTGGAGTGGAAGCTCCTCCTCTCCCGCCTCCTCGTCCTCCTCCACTTCTTCTTCTTCTTCTCCTCCGAAGCCTCCGTCCAGACCCCCCGCTCCTCCGCTCTGGTGTTTCTTGAGGTGGCGGCTGAAGACGAAGGGGTGTGTGGTGGTGAAAGGGCACTCTTGGCAGCCGAAAGTCTGGCGCGGCGCGTGCTTCAGCTTCTTGTGCAGGTTGAGGTTGTCCTTGCGCTTGCAGCTATAAGAGCAGCGGTCGCAGTGGAAGGGCCGCTCGCCCGTGTGCACACGCACATGCTCGATCAGCTTGTTGGCCGTCTTGGACAAGTAGCCACACTGCTCACACTTGTAGTGGTTGCCCAGGCGGTGCCCGCGCATGTGGGCCTCCAATGAGGCCTGGTCCGGCCACAGTCCCTGGCAGATGCGGCAGCGGTACTCCATCTTACAGTGCGTCTTAAGGTGGCACTCCATGGCCGCTGGACGATTGGTGGAGTAGATGCAGAAAGGGCACCTGGGCAATGCAACAAAAGGGGAAGTAGGGAGGGGAGGACACGACACCCAAAAGCAAAAGGACAGTTGAAGGGGGGAGTGTACGTTCAGAAACCACAGAACACACCTTCAAATTGAATAACACAAAAATGATGAAGAGGAGGAGGACAGGTAAAGGAAAAAGTGTGCGTCATGTAGAGGTCTGTGTGCTCATGGTGGTATGTGTGGCAGTTTAATGGTGGGAGAATTGCGATGATCAGGTGTGTGTGTGTGTGTGTGTGGAGGAGGAGGGGGGGGGGGGGGTGACAGGCTGGAGAAAGGGTTGGAGCAGTAGGACATGAAGGGAAATGAAGGAATGGAGTGGCACTTACATTTAAATAGCACCTTTCATCTGCTCTGGGCCCCAAAGCGCTTCACAAACCCTGCAGAACAGAATCACCTCAGAAAAACCTCCAAATGGTCAAGGCCCTCTCTCCCTTTCTATACACTCCTATATATATATATATATATATTTAGAAACACTTCACATTGCTCAAGTGTATACACGTGTACACACTAGTCTAGAAAAAATAAACTGGATGTCGGAGGTCAGAAAATGTAGGCAATGGGAGTTTATCTGGAACCTTTTCGCCCTTCATGTCCATTAAGTAATTCTACACCTGTTTGGTTAAATCCTGCCTGCTTTTGAAAGTAAACATTAATTTGGTTTACATAAATTAAGAGACGTGTAAACCTTAAAGAGCTGAATATACAACCCACGTGTGCGGGTATAAATTTAAATCGAATAAATATCACTCCTTCAATGTCTTTTCTTTCTCCGTTCAATAAAAATATCCACAACCTTCTTCTTTCCATTTTGAATAATGGCTCAAGAGAAATCACTCTGGCTTCGAGAAACATGAACACCAGACAGAAGAAACATTTAAAACCGTTATAACTCCTTTACATGTATTCACTCGCACACTACAGCTAGCAGCAAATCCTCACGCTAGGGACTGTAGATGCTTTGTGGAGATCTTTGAGTTATGAAGGGGCTTCTTGTGCGTTTGTCATCTGGTCAAATATAAGCCAATGTAACCGTGTTGGCAGCTTCCTAGTTTATATTTAGTGAAATGAAACCATTTCCAGACATTTAGCAATGTTTAAAACATCCTATCTCCACTGATGGCTGCACAGAAGAAGAAAAAAAAAGATATAGAACACAGATCTTTGCTTATGACAAGATGAGGCGATAATCATAATGATTCTGTACATGCACAGACTGGAGTTATGAGAAAAACAATGGCTTGTGTTACTTGAAATGGATCTTTGACAAATGTTCCATTAACTGCATTGTTCCTAAATATGAAGGCAAAAAGTCATGTGTTTATCATCACAAATGCTGTTAACCGCTACCCAAGAGCTGAACGTGTGTGTGAAAGCACATTATTGTGATTGGCCTGAACTCAAACACTACCATCAGTCAGTGTGCAGTGTGGATGGTGAGATCAACAGATGGGCTTTATGGGGGCTCGACAGGCCTGTTATGGGACATAAACGTGTTACAGTACAACAAAGGCTCCTGTGGGACTATGGGAGTATGGAGATGGGGAGGGAAGCATGGAAGAGGACTGGAGCTACATATAAAGTATATTTCTATATGTACGGGTTGGGATACAAACTACACCGAGATAGAGTTACACGTTGTATTTGAAAGCTTTGTTTTAGGGTCATCCTTTGACCCGTGTCTTGTGTCAATGTCTACACTAAGATGTGACAAATGTACGTGATCGGACTAGGGGTGTGCCCACATATTTTATACATTTTCTTTCATACATTATAAGTGTCTGTATGGTAGGTTTGTAAAATGCAGATTTCCTCAGATGTTTTCCTCTGGCACAGCCGTCATCTGTGGGCAGTGGAACAACAGACCCTGAGGGGGAAACCCATTTCCATCTCTTTCCCCATTCTCCCTTCTGTTCAGAGCAGCCACTGCAGACCCAGAGACCACCGTCTAATAAGTTACACTTGCCAAGAGAGGCGGTCGAGCACAACTACAGCTTGTATCATTTAATTTGCTGGCTGCAAATACTGGACATTAAAGAGAGGTTAACTGATAGAGGACACATGGCGACACACATCTTCAAATAGGCTGTTACAATCAGCTCTAATTTATGATAATATCAGCCAGCCATCTTTTTGTATCCTTTGTTATTTTATATATGTAAAATGAGTTACATATTGCATGTAAACCATTGTGAGATGCCTGAAACTTTAGTCTGTTGCCATAGCTTTGCACACCCCCCTAATGTTGGTCTATGTGTGTGTAGTGTGCAGTGGATTGACGAGGGGGGGGGGGGGGGGGATGGGCGGAGTTAGGAACCTCTGTCTGTACTTGCTTTCCTTACTTGAGCCCTCCGGAGGGGACGGTGTGGCACTTCTTGTGCTCCAGCAGCTGCTCGGGCGTCTTGAGGAACTTGTGGCAGACGTCGCACTCGAACATCCGTGTGATGAGGTGGATCTGAAGGTGCCGTTCGTACATGCTACGCGTCTTGCACACAAAATTGCAGAAGACGCATTCGAAGCCTGTAGAGAAGGAGAGAGAAGAGGGTCAGTGGAGACTGAATCGGTTTTAATGGTTTTAATGGTTAGATGGTTATGTGCTCTTCAGACTCGGCGTCGCTGAAATCTCTGAGTGTATCTATAGAAAACGGGAACAAAGGGAGTTCAGATTCAGGGAAAAAGTCCGGTCCAACAATGACCTCGCACAGAAATAGAGTATGTAAGCAGCGATGCAGCGAAGGTTGAGATATCTTCACTTTGAGCTCCAAACAACAACAACAGACTCCACAGTTCTCAGAATACAACCTGTATGACCGTCCTGCCTGATAAATGCTGACACACAAATTTGCGACGGTGTGGAGTTTGAAAGATATCTAGGTAACCCCGGTGACATCATCCGGGTGTTTAGAAAGCTTTGCCATCCCAATAGAAGTCATAATGTAGTTTTGTTTTGCTTTTATTCTTTTTAAAAACAAACTACAATGACTTTTAATGACTTACTGCACTATGACTATAAACAAGGACTTTTTGGTGTCTTTTATACAACATACTATTCTGTGAATTTTTAAATTACTTTTTGTTACAAACTTTTTTACATCATACTATACTCTGACTTTTTTATGATATACTATATTAATGACTTGCTATACTGTAACTTTTTTTTAACTTTCTAATATTATACTGTGATTTTTTTTGCCATTTTAATGAAATACTTTGCCATTTTAATGACCTTTTCATGACATACTATTCTATAACTGTTTTTGCTCCAGTTGATCCAGAATGCTGCAGCACGTGTACGGACAAGAACTAAGAAAAGAGATCACATTATTCCCGCATTAGCTTCTCTGCTCTGACTCCCTTTAAAATACAGAATGCAGAATCCAGAAGTTAACATCCTTATCCTTACTTACAAAGCCCTAAATGGTCATGCATTATTAAAGAGCTTATAGTACCTTATTACCCCACTAGAACACTGCGCTCCCAGAATAAAGGGAAAGGCTCCGGCTTGCCTTGGAACAGCCCTTAGTTATGCTGCTGTAGGCCGAGACTGCCAGGGGACTTCCTCTGACACAATGAGCTCCTCTCTCCTCCGCTCCATCTGTATATATTCATGTCCCATGAATGCATGTTACTAACTTGGCTTCTTCCCCGGAGTCTTTGTGCTCTCTTGTCTCACAGGTTTCCATGGACCGGGTTACACCTGGATGGTGGTTGTGTATCTGCTACCGTGGCCCTGCTTGACACCCACTGCTACTATAATTAATCATATTATATCCATTGCTGCTATTATTATAATAATTCAATTATATCTACCGTTGCCTCTCGCTCCCTCTGCTTAAGGGGGTGCTTTTGTTCTGCCACTGTCACCATAGTGCTTGCTCATGGGGGGTACGATCTGGACTTTATACGAAAAGTGTCTCGAGATGATTTCTGTTCTGACTTGACGCTATATAAAATTAATTAACAAAATATATGTCATGAAATTGTCTTTGCAATGTCAAAAGCAAAAGACCGGCATTTCATTTAGGTCAAAATGACTTGTCAGTTCTGGAACAATGAAAAGCTGCTCTATCATGTGGACAGTTGTCCGACGTCTCCCGTGTTGATTTGCATTCCACACGCAAACTGAATAAAGGGCAAACGTGTTGGTGGATAAGGCTTTGAAACAGATACAACTACCAATGTTGGTGTAAATGATGTAAAGAAACAACTCAGTTGTGTCAGTGTTGAGACTATTGGTGAGTGAAATTATTATATGGTGTCATAAACAGTCATAGAAAGTATGTTGTAAAGAAGTTTTTGAAAAAGTATTGGCATTAAAAAAGGTATAAGTCCTAAAAAAGAACATAGTATATTGTATGTCGAAACAATAAATAAGACGCAGTATATTATGCCAAAAAAATGAATAGTCATAGTATAGTATGTTATGTTGAAGAGTCAAGAAGAAGAAAAAGTATACTTTTTTTAAAGCTTTAAAAAGTCATAAAAAAGAAAAGAAAAGTCAGTTTAGCATGTTGAAAAAAGTGCGAAAAAAGCGATAGTATATTACATGGAAAAAACTAATAGGTCATAGTAGGGTATGATGAAAAAAGCTATAAAAAGTCTTAGTACAGTATGTTGAAAAAAGTCATAAAGGCAGAGTATGTGAAAAAAATGACGAAAAAGAAAAAATCTGTATAGTATGTCGGAAAAACCTCATAGTACAGAATGTCAATAAAAGGGAAATAGTACATTATGTTTCTAAATGTATTTAAATGAAACACCTATATACTATGCAGGTGCACACACACATTACAACACTTCAGGACACAAGTCTCACCACACACGTTCATGCAAGCTTCAGCCGATCCGTGAGGGAGCCGTCAGGTTAAGGGAGGCAGTGTGGCCCACATTAGTGATTAGCAGAAGATAGCAGAAATGATTACCTAGTGCCAACGTAACATTATCTAACAGACCGTGGAAGCGTCGCGGATGTATTTTTGAACGACTAAAGTACTGAAGGAGGTCTTCTTGCCGGGGTCAGGCGAAAATGCATTCTAGCATTTCTGTTAATCAGAAATTGATGAGTCGATCAATGTTAAACTTGTATTTCATTGTTGCCTCGTCAGTCATGAATATATAAATATATAGACTGTTGTTGAGAAGTGCATCTGGTGAAGATATTTCCCACAATTCCTTACCTTTGTCAGACTTGTCCTCAGTTCCTGATCCCGAGTGGCTTCCAGAGCTGGACTGGCTCCCTGCGGAGGAGGGCAGGGCCAGCAGGCCCCTGAGTTCTTCGTTACCGTGGGTGAGGTCTCCGCCCTCCGAGCTGTTGAGCGAGTCGCTGAGGGCCGAGAGGGAAGAGGAGGTGCTCTTGGTCTCGCTGAGGGGACTTCTTGAGCTCAGACCTGGACACAAGACGACAGAGTAAAAAAAGATTTGTCATTTTAATATAAAAATGTTACCAGCTCCAGCTAAAACTCATGCGATAGATATTAACTGAAACCCTGCAAAAATTGTGGGGTGTCCTTTATGCAGAAAAATCAGTTTAAAGTACCCTGTCGTTCTGTATATGCACGCACACACACACACACACACACACACACACACACAATACAAACACGCAGCCCTCTGCTCTGACTGAGGCCCTGCTGCCAGTCAAATCAAGATGCAGTGTGCTTTTATTGATCCCCTTCTCTAAGTCTGCAATTCACTGGCAAGAGGGAGGTACAGGTGAGGAGCGTGGGTCATGGCCGAAGGAGCTAAGATGGCGGGAGCATCTCAGGGCACAGCTCAACAAAGGGCATTCACTCAGACGGGAGTGAGAGGAGGGAGAACAGGCGGCACAGATGCTGAAATGGTTGACCTATCTTTCCGACGCAGGCAGACACACGCGCGTCTAAAACATACAAGAATATCCGCATCGAGTTCACACACAAGGAATTGTTAGAGAAGATATGATTAACTGCTTTCAATCAAATCGAAATAAAGCAGGGCCATTCAGAGCGCAGTCTTCGCAGCATTTTGAATACAGTATTGAACCAGCTTGAGGGGCTTTTATCTTCTCTGCTGCAGTATTTAACATGCACTTGCCTTCTTCTTACAATAGCCAAAAGGCTAATGCCACAGAATATAAGCAAAAATGAAATAAATGCACTTCTCTGAGCCAGTGGGCCTCAACCTTGAAACCCACCTTTACGGGAAAATATATTCCATTTTCTCTTTTACTGAATAAAGAGGCAAAGTATGTCTATCTGTCAGTGTATCCAGGGTAGAGATCAAGTAACACCGTCACATGATTCACTACCTCGCCCCCTACAGTTAAGGGCACCCAACAAACCCTTTCCCCCATGCCGAGTCCAGTCTTCACAGGCCTACACAGTCGACCAGATAACTAGCCTTTTACAGTCTGTGAGGAGTCACTCTGTCCACCTTACACTCCGAAGTATAGACACGTTAACAAAACAAGGCTTAAGCATGAGAAACCACCCAAATCTCCACATGTAGAAGGTAGGAAGTGAGAGACACTCCGGCACATTTGTATGTTTGGTGGTGTTGTCCATCTTGTGAGAGACTGAGATAAATGCCAAGCCAGGCTGAGAGACTTAAAAGACGGCCACAGTGGCATCGTAAACCGAGCTCGTCTCCAAAGGAACCAAGGCCTATTGATTTTTTCCCCTCAGGCACGATAAGGGCCAACCTTCTCAGATAAACAAGGCCACTGTGGCCTCTGAAAGACCCCTCAGCTGTCTAGGCCGGACAATCCCACCCACCCACCCACACATACAGACAAGCGGCACACACACACACACACACACACACACGTATTGGGGAACAGCGGAAGACCAAAACGGCAGCAATACACTGGACAAAGCTGTTTTAGACAAAAACACTGATATTGACCACCGGGGGTTCAAACCAGCAGCTTTAAAAGTCTAAAGAGGGTCAACAGGAGGCGGCTAGTTTCTTCTTCTACAGCTCGTCTTTCCCTGTGTCCTCTGAACTGATACAGAACAAGGTGTTTATGAAGTGTAAATGACTGTCACATCAGGATGTTTGGATATGAAATACAAGTTGAGCTGAAACCAAAAGTCAATTAGTTGATCAATATATTGGCACAGATTTTGCTGATTCATTTGTCGTTTGAGTCGTTTTCAAAGCAAAATACAAAGATGATTTACAAGCATCAGCTTCTCATGTGTGTTTTTACTGCGTTCTTTATTTACATGTGTCAATTTTGACACACAATAGTGTATGAACTGTAACCGTATCATTGGAGGGGACTATGTATAAAAAGACTTAATTTCTCAAAACCCTGAAAGCCGTTGTTTAAATTTAAACCCCCATGTGTTGGAGTACAGAGCCAAAACAATAGAAAATGTGTCACTGTCCAAGTACTGCACTGTATGTCTATTCTGAGCTGTGAACAAGAGCCACAATGTGTAAGCTACCACCCACTCCAACATGCGAGAGAGATATTTTGAAAATAACTCCATAAAGCATTTTTGTAGGGTTTGAATCGTGCCCTTTAGTAATACAATGAGTTTAGTCACACGAACATTACCCTAAAGCTGAAACTACTCGTCGATTAGTCGATTACTCAATCAAGAGAAAAGTCAAAATCTAAAAAGAAACTATTTTGATGTTCGATTAACCGATTCGTTTGAATAATGTTTTGAAAAATTAAGAAATAATGATAACGTTCGTTCCAACCCTTCGTTACACCAACACATACAGCATGAGAGAGGCTATGTCATCGACGCCGTCTCTCAGAACCGGTGGGGGGATTCTGTACCTGCATGTCCGGTACTAATGTGGTTCTTCATGTCGTTCTCCTCCATGCAGACGTAGTCACAGACGCTGCAGCAGAGCGAGAACATCCACTGCTCCTTGTCCACATGGAGCGACATGTGGCTGACAAACTGGGCATTCAGCTCCGTCTGGAAATCACACACATGGCAGCTGGACAAGAGAACAGAGAGGAAGAGGAAGATGGCGAGAACAACCGTCAGCTTTAGTGTTATATTATGTCTGCATAAATTGGTACGTGGTACAGAGTGGATACATTTCTATTCATTTGTTAGACAATCGAAAATAAAATATTTCCTCACTGCAGACGTGGTGCTTTTGAACTCATTTCAGATCATTAGCAACATAAAAGTATTACAAAAGATCGTCTGAGGAGCGCTGAGGAGTCTTGTTCTCATGAAACACCACGAAGTCATTACACACAAATAAGAGATATTTCAGCACATAACCACACACATCTTTACACTTCGGCTCTTTGAACGCATTGAATAAACAAGATTTGACATGTTAATAAGGCAGCTTAAGGTGTGCCGATGAGGGGATGAATGGACACAACTCTGGTTTTGATTTTCTCATCTAACTCTTGTAAAGAAAGCAAATAATAATAAATAGAAATGGTAATAATAATTATCATTTCAGAGGAAATTGATAATAAATTTACAAAATAAAGTAATTGGGGAGAAATTAAATGAAAGAATATATATCAGGATATATTTGGGCATCAAGCAGCAGATGCAAATCAATCAACAACAGCCCTGATTCTGACCTCTGCTGCTGGCTGGAGGCCTCCTTCATAGCGGTGTGTGTGTTGCTCTGTTATCGTTACCTGTAGTAGTACGGGCAGTTCTTGCGCTCGGCAGACTCGGCTGTAACAGCGCTGACGATCTGCTCAGCATCTGTATTGACCAGCTTGACAGAGTGGATGGTCAGGTGCTGATTGAGGTTAGCCCGGCACTTGGCTGCATAAGGACACAAGTGACACTTGTATTTCCTCTCGTCTGCAAAGACAAACACAAGAAGCACAGGTTACTGTAAACATTACCTCAGGTGATATTTCATTAAGTCGCGCACAGCCTCTAAGCCTTTAATCAAATAGGAGAAAAATCTAAATCACAATATTTCCTTTTATGCCAAAACAATGTCTTCTCCCACTATCTCCCCCTAAAACACACACACACACACACACACACACACACACACACCATTTGCCCCAAGGACATGAAGCCAGGCAACCTTTATGTCGCCGGGGAAACCAAAAAGACCATCACACTGACATATGCCCCTGCTTCTGCTCTCTGTGGTGTGGCCAAGCTGTTCGCAGCCAACACTCTCAGATGGCGTGTGTGTGTGCGCTGTGTAGTGTGTGTGTGTGCACTCAAAATGTGAGAGCATGTCCAATTGTGTGGGGGCATTTGGTACACGAGTCTCCATTTGTGCGCCCAGTGATTTAGTCCGCAATCCCAAGTAGGTTGCATAAATTTCTAATCCAGCGTTTAATTTGCTTTAAGTAAAAACTGCATAAGCAGGATAGTCATTCATTTATTTTCCTAATAAGGGCAGCAGAGAGAGAGAGAGAGAGAGAGAGACTGCAGAAGACAAGTGATGGGAAAGAATGGATCAATTGGGACCAAAGAAGGGCCAAGTTTGAAAACACGGAGTAATCAGGACACAAGGGAGCGTACAGCTTCATCCTGAGGAAGTCTCCCGTGTCAGAGTGTGAGAGACAAAGTGAATGAAGGAAACTAATCGTGACTGCATCAGAATTACTGGTGTGTGTGTGTGTGTGTGTGTGTGTGTGTGTGTGTGTGTGTGTGTG